AAAACAATTGTATAGTTTTGCGAATTATCCCATTCCTATCACTTTTTTTCTGGTTAAGGCTTTTAACATTTTTTAAAGAGAAATTCTGTATATCACTTTTGCTATTAAAAATCAAATTCTCCTAAATATATTATTTCTATTAAAAATACAGAAAGTTTCAATTTTTTTTCTGGGTATTTTTGTTTTGTTTACAGCTGCATTAATAAGTAAATACTTTTATATACACTACTATAGCAGAACTTAATCCGAAAAAAAAGCAATGCAAAAATGTAACTTGAAGAAATTAAACAGCCGGTTCTTGTTTTTGTTGACAAGAGAACTTAAAAATATTAATGTAAATTAAATGAAACTGTCACAACCATCGACGTTTTCTATTTTACAGTTGTCATGGAAGTCTGCCTTTCCTTCCTAAATTTTTTAAACTTATTATGTATTTACATGTGAGCAGTTTGTATTTTAATTTATATTTTGGGGATATATTGAACACCATCACAAAGTATGATGATTCAAACATAGCCTTCCTTCACCTTATTTATGTTCCTTTGTTTTTTTCCAAGAATCAAAATTTTGTGACAGTTCAGAACTTCACATAAAGTAATGTATGCAGCTTATGAATTTGTTTTTATATATTTTCAGTTTTGTTGATGTGAAAAATATTTACTACACTGAAGTTGAATTTAATTATAATAAAATAGTAAACTGATTTTTTTAAATATATTTTATGTAGCCAACAAGAAATGGTTGTCATATGGATCAAAGGGGCTTTATATTTTAGTTAACCTAAGATTTATTTTTTAATTTTGCTAAAAATAATATGCAGAATTGTGCATAGTACTTATATTTAGCACCTGGTGTATTTGTGGCTATGCTATGTGTTTTAATGATGCAAGTCAGCATGACATGCAATGTAAATTAAAGAATTACTCATTTTACATTCTTCTTCACATTATTATGCGTGTGGTCTGCATCCCAAATCCCAATTTTAACTATCACATCAAATAACAGAACTAGAAGTTTAGATGAAAAATAAAAAGCAATAATGTGAACAATATAAAAATAGAAGTTTATATACTATATATGTTCAATTAACTAAATAATGTAATATTGTAGTTATTACATTTTATAACATTAAATATTTAATGTAAAATTATGTCATTCAATTTTTTGGGGCGTTTTAAACAAAATATTCAATTGAAATGTAATTAATTATGTGTCTGCTTTTAACAATGTAAAAATCAGAAACTGATAACAAGGAATTATTAAGTTTCTGTATTGAGGAAAACTAAAATGCAGTTTTTTTACAAATGTAAATGTAGCAATACCCATGTAGACAGTGTCAGCAGATGATTTGAAGATCTACAGCCGAGTGATACACAAATAAGATACCTTTTTGTAAATAGTTCAGGTACTTGAATGCATTTTTAAGGTTTAATGCCTGAGTTTAGTTTCACATTAAATTGCAGTGACTCATGAATAATAGTAATGATAATAAGGGCTAAGCAAAACTAGACGTCATGCTTTTGTATGACGTCATGTTTTGCAATGTACCCAAATACAATAAATAATAACTAAACAAATACCTTTCCCACCAGTCAGCTTGTAGACTGGGAAAAATATATATACTGTATATGTGCCTATGAATATACCCTCTGCCTTTCTTCATTGCATGTAAGAGAGAGTGGAATTGCTTGAGAGACAGACTTTTAAGTCCTAAAATAAAACTTGCTGCCTAATAAAAAAACAACAACATTATAATAACTAATTTATTTAATTCATGCACAAAAGGAAAGATTCATGTTTACATACCCTGGTGTTTTTTAACTTTTTCAAATGTTGTTTTTTATGGAACCGCTCTGTTTATGTGGGATCCTAAGAAGAAGTCTGCCTTTTTCTAAAGGCGAAAAGTAAAAAGCCTATTAAAGAGAACATGTTGCCTCTGAGAAACAGCCCTCTGTGTTTACAACAGGCATATGTTCACTGTGCCCCATAAATTGGGGTACAGGTAGCAACCACAGCTTTCTGGTCAGGATTCCAGCTCACCTCCTCCTGCCTTACACATCTTATTGATAACCACTAAATGCAATGACCTCACTGATCAATAGCAAGGAGCCAAGTATAAGAAGGGGAAGACGAGAAATGTAACCTGTATTTGCATGGTTTTGGGAATCCTAGTCCACAGTTAAGATTATACAAGCACATGAGCAGGCACCTGGAGGTGCTTGGTCTAAGGACTCACAGCCACTAAGAAACCCCTACAGATTCCCTTCCCAGAAAAAAGCTGTGCTTCAGTCTTAAAAAGAACTCCAGGAAGAATCATTCAAAATTTCGGGGCAGGTAATTGTAAATGGGATATTTAGGCAAATTGCACTTGCCTCCCCAAACGTTTTGGAATTAACCTTCCCAGAGTACATGTACAGGATACACATCTTGATAACCGCTAAATGCAATGACCTCACTGATCAATAGGAAGATGCAAAGTGTAGGAGGAGGTAGGTCAGAAATGTGACCAGTGCTTGCAGGGTTTTGGGAATCCTGGCCCACAGTTACGATGATATAATCACATGAGCAGGCACATAGAGGTGCTTGGTCTAAGGACTGGTGACCACCAAAAAACCCCTACAGATTTCCTTCACACAACATAGCTGCGCTTCAGTCTTAAAAAGAACTCCAGGAAGATTCAGTCAACATTTTTGGGCAGGTAATTGTAAATGGGATATTTAGGCAATTTGCACTTGCCTCCCCAAACATTTTGGAATTAACCTTCCCAGAGATACCTGTATCTTGTCTACATTGATCATCTTTATAAAAAAAATACATTATCAGCAAATTTCACTGCTAAAAACTGAGATCAGTGACATCATAAATGAGCGAATAAGCCACTTGGGCCTCAGAATGCCACTACAAAGTTTAAGAAAACATCGACCAAACATCGGACATAATGCAAAAACCTACAAAACCAAGGAAGCAATTGGTAACTAAACTAGCCATTATTTGAACTCGTACACATTACATTACAGAAGCCCTACCATGAACCTAAAATGTTACATAGAAAAAGGTCAGTGACTTATACAAGTATTGTCTAGGAGTGTTTTTCCCCTACACAATTTAGATTAATAAAAGATAAGTGACATTTATTATTTTCTTTATATTATACACATAAATGTGTTTTTAATGCAGCAGTTGATTGGGTTAGCAGCTGGTCAGTGGACTAACTGGTCAGTGTTGGGGAAAGTGACATAGACTGTGCATTACTGGTCCTTCTCAGACCAACCTGTTCTTATGGACATGAGCTATGTGCAATGAAAAAAGACAATTGGCAGATATATTTTCTCCACATCGATGCTGAGCCCCGTCTCTATTTTATACTTTAAAGGTCCAGTGACCCAGCAGCACCCAAGAGCGTAGCTGGTGCTCTTCAAATTTAGAGGTGGTTGACATATTTCAGATTCCCACTTAAAGTTCCCAATGGAGTTTCCACAGTCATGACCAAATTAAAAGAGCAGGCAAGCAAATCTAAACACACATTGGAGGGACTGGAAACACAGTCACCGCCAGGCATCTGACACATTTGGAAGTTTGTCAAATATGCAGATCCTTCGGTTGGCTTTGCTCAGCCAGGGAGTGAAGATTCTACAAATGGGTGCTAGGACAGGTAAATATAAAGTATTTTCTTTTGCAGTTTTGTTTTTACATTTTTTTTACAGACAAAGAGTAATTCCAACCAAAAGAGATGTTTCCATTTTGAGCAGTGAGACAGAGTTTAATCCTCTGCTTTGTCTTTACTATATTTAGGACCCCAGTGAGGAGACCTGCTTCTACCCCACCACCATGGCTGTAAAAACTACTCTGGATTTTAAGCTCATCTACAACAGTCATGGAATATGGTAGCACGAAATGGCAGGAAATACATTTCAAACCTTTTATTGATGTTCCAACAAACGTATATGAGTAATACCCAAGGGATGAGCTTTCCTGATGTCTATATGTTGAAACATTAATACATGTATTTCAATGTATTTCCTGCTGGTTTGGGCTATCATCTTCATTGAATGGTGTATGCTCAGCAATAGGTGCCAGATAAGGTACTGGAGTAGCTGTGGTGAGCAAGAGAGGATATATATGGAGCAGTAACTGTTTTTACACAGTATCAGCTACCACAGTCACTGGTTTGGGTAAGTTTTGTAACCACTGGAAAATTCCCTAGCGGGCATAGGGCAATAAAATACTGTATTATGTGATTTCACTTTGACAGGTGATGAAAAATTAGATTCAGCCTATCACAAATTTGTCTGGGCATTGGGTCATCCAGAAGCAACAGAAAGGACCAGGTGGGCAAACAAACCCTGTCCTATATAACAAAAAGCAGAAAATTCACTAGAGGACACAGGGCAATACAATACTGTATTATGTAACATCACTTTCAAAGGTGATAGCAAAGAGGAAGCTTAGCTGAAAAATTAGGTTCAGCCTATCACAAATTTGTCTGGGCATGGGGTGATCTCTTCCAGAAGCAGCACAAAAGACCAGGTGGGCAAACAAACCCTGTTCTTTACCATATAAAGCAGGAAATACTTTTTTTAATGAAGTTGCAAATAAAAAAGCTAAATAGCATCCAACCAATCAGTCAATCAATCAATCAATCAATCATTAGTTCTATGGATGACAAGCCAAGCAGCATTTAAAGAATGAATATTAACATTATTTACAGAATCATTACAATAAAGTTAAGCAAAAATAAAAGACAAACACATTGTTTTATCCATGAAGTAGGATTTTAGGGATTCAGTTGTCAAATTTATTAATGTATATGTGATTTAAAGATGATCAAACTGTGGCTTTTACTAGTAACTATTGTATACCGTCTTTTGTATACTTTGGTTTAAAGACAAAATTCCACCAAATAAAAACAACAGGAAATAAAGAAATGCTCTTTTTCCTTGAAGTTATTTTTTCCCCATTCCTATTCTAGTTGTGAATATAACTACATTTCTTTTCTGACTGAAATGACTACTCCAAATTGTTTTCTATCTACAAGACCCACACTGCTTGGAATCTTAGAATGTGACTGGAAGAGTTCTGTATTTTGCAATAAAACATTTTAAAGACAAATACACTGCAGCATTCCATGTGTGTATAGGGTGGAAGTGTATTGCATTATCAAGTAGTGCAGTCTTGTTCGTCCAAGAGACAGTTCAGCTTGATGACTGTGCTGATAAAGTCACCTAACTCTACGAAATCCGCTGTAATTATATTGATTCCACTTTCACCAGGCTTTTGCGTCCGAACCCATTGCATCATGGAGGGGAGGGCCCTAAAAAGACAAAAAAAAAAGGGGAATATTTAATTACAGGTTAAAATACAAAACACATGAAAAAAGTCTGGTAAATAGAAACAGCTTTTTCATTGTCTAGCTTCAAATTAAACTCTTGGGTCAGCTCTTAGCTCACTAGACAGAGGTACCATGCTGTTTGACTACAGTATATAAAAAGCAGGCTGGAAGCTGAGAATTGACATAAGGCTGCATTGTGTGTGACTTGTGTGGCGGTAGGGGGTACAATAAGCCTATATACCAAGACTAGTTATGCTCTGACTAATATTTGCTATACGTTCTTTTTTTTAAACTTTCTTTAAAAAGAATATACTGTTATTGGATCGGAATTTCCAATCTTTTGTAAGGTGAAACATTTAGATGTTTGTTTTGAGTTCTGATTCAAGGAAGCCTGAATAAAAGTTGACTTGGGCTTAGCTTTTGTTAGCACCCTGTTCTCTGACTAATGGGGGTTGATTTACTAACCTTATAAACACACCACGAACATGTATACACCTCTGTAGTGTGTTCCCTCCCAGCATGATCTATGGGTGGAATCTAAACACCTTTGTAGTGTGTACACACCCAGCAGGTGTGTTGTGCAAAGCCAAGCATGAATTGCAAGGTGATGTTGTGTAAATTAGCTCTACATTGTGTTGCTTGTGTTGATGAATGCAGGAATGTAAATGCATGAGCTAACCATTTTTGTCTAAACTGTGAAGCAGCATTATATATGCATCATGTGCATGATTTTTCCATATATGGCATTAGTGGAAATATGCTTTTAGATACTTTTTGGTTGATAAATACGTTTTGCTGTGTGAAAATCACACGCACCTGGTGCGTGCGTGTCTTTAGGTTAGTAAGTCACCCCCATGGGGTTATTCACAAAAGGGTGAAGAGTTTGGAGAAGGCAGGAGAAGTGAACAATCTAGGTCAACATAACTGAACTGGAAAGTGAGCTGAATTGGAGAATTTTTCCAAATCAGCTATTTTTGCCTAGATTGTTCACTTCTCCTGCCTTATCCAAACTCTTCACCCTTTTGTGAATAACCCTGTAAATCTATACAAGTGGTCAAGCACTTAAGAATTTCCAATGCCATGGTGGCGAGAAAGCTTCGATCATGACCAGGCATACATTCTATTAAAATTGTCAACCAGACACACACTATGGTAGCTTCAAAGCTTTGGGATGAAAAAATGACCAAGGCGTTCGGTTCTCTCAGACAGGTCCAGTAAAGTGATGTGTAATTTTCACAATTTGGCTCAACTTTTTTTTTTTTTCTAGAGACCTTTATTATGGCCTACCATTCCTACATTACAATCCCAAGCACCCATCCTTGTGCATGTATTTCTAAAGGTGTTGTTGCCTCCTTTTACTATCTTCCTTTGGCTTTCAGGAGTAAGAACAGGTGTCATTAACTTCATCAATCAGCTTCCAATGGAAACCATCAGGCATTACAGGTTTACTGACCTGTATTATAGGACCTTATTATAGCTCTTGATACCCTTATAAATATTAAGTCCAGATCCTCCAGACTGAAAGGATTGGTAAACATGGGTTGCCGACCAAATTTTTTTTTAGTGAACTGATTGTTATTATTATTTCCAAATCTCATCCAACATGAACAGGTGGCTTTGCCGCTGGTAACACCAAAGTGGCCATCAATGTGATCTTCTGAGTCCAAAAACATTCCATGACTACATTCAATCTCAGAGTGACTGAAAATTCCAGAGGGCACTTGATAGGCTAAACTGGGATTACACAATTGCTATGATCGGTAAACCCATTTTTGACCTAGGACCAGTCTCTGTATACCTCACCAGCATTCTCCATAATATATTCATACATTTCCTTTCATAAAATATCAATTGGGAATAAGAGTTAACAGGGGTGTCTGTTATTCCCACTGCTTCCTGCCCGGGGCACTGAAATACTGGTGGCTGCCTTTTACAGAAACCTAAAACTGTGTGTTAGCAATTTAAAAAGGAGCATACATTCTTTTTTGCTTTCTCCTCACACTAAGCTACCTGGCAGTGTCCCTTCCTAATTGCCTTAAAATGTGGAGTCAAATCAGTAATGTCTGTTGCTTTCAGTCCCCAAGAGAGACTCACAGGGTTTGTATCATTAACATCATTCATTTTTTTCCTTCAAAATAAATGTAATAAAGTCCTGGAGAAGGCATTGGTATGCTTAGGGTCCCTGGGGAGTTTGACAGACCTTGATTTCCACTGTACTATCCGCAATCTCATCTCCGTCAGATCTTTTCTTGGACTTTGAGGAAACTTTCATTCATTTTCATTCATATTACATAAAACCAGACATTTAAAAAGGAAGTCACTAGAATTTGACATACAATAAATCAGGAAAAATTTAAATGATCCACAGTTCCTAAGCTTCTCCTTACACCACTGCCTTACACAATATATACATCAATTAATTCATCATTCAATATGACCATTGTTGATATTATATACTGTATTACATTACTCAACCATCTGGCACATGGTGCAATGGGAATAAATCCAAACGCGTTTCTCAGACAGCTTGGTCCACCATGGGTGGAGATGCACCTCAGGCTCTTCCTGCTGGTTCTGGATGGACGATGCATGCACTACAGGTGATGCTCATGCCATGTGTGATGTCAGATGCAGCCAATATGACCTTTGCATTCCTCTGTATATGTCTGGAAACACCTGTATAATCCCTTGACTGGATGGATTGTCACAGATTACATCCGGTGAATTTATTATTAGTGATAACTGTTATATTGTTAAGCTGCTATTTATGAGTTGTGCATCTCATACTGTTTGCCTATGGTTCCAGCATGTGTTGTTTTGGGCTGTGGATGCTTTTCAGGCTCTGTTAACTCTATTTTGTAGGTGAGACACATGTGTTATCCCATTTTTTTCGTCTTGACTAGTGCGGTATTCACTTTTAATGCTCTATGGATGATGAGAATTTACTATAATCAATGACATCCTTGTGCTCTGGATGTATAGATAGGTCCTGTTATACCCTCTTTTGAGAAGTATACAGCATATGCATGGAAAGGGTTATATATGGGATTATCATTTATACTAGGGATGCACCGAAATATCGGCCGCCGAAACATATCGGCCGAAAATGGCAGTTTTGGCTAAATGCCGAAAGTGCCATTTTCCTGCTAATACAGTGGCACATGTCTGCTTTCTTTCCTCCCCGCTGGGCGCAGCTCTGTATCCCAGTGGGAAGGAGAGAAACTGTGACAGCCGGCAGAGCGCTGAGGGAGGAAAGCGATGTGAGCGGCCGGCGTCTATCCTGCCACACCGCTCAGCCTCCTGTCACTGTCCGGCAGAGCGGTGTGTGGGCGGAGACAGCCAGTGCTGTCACCGGAGGCTGAGCTCTCCTCCCTGCACTGCTCGCACAGCCTCCAGTGACAGCGCGTCAGAGAGGAGAGCCAATGCAAACACTCAGTGATCAGTGACCGCTGTGTGTTTGTAGATAATTGAGGACATGGTATGTTTACTAGATTCTCAATTATGAATGAATGGGAAGTGATCTAGATCACCTCCTGATCATTCATAGTTGTGGTTATAGTAAACACACTCTGTCCTCATGTTATGAAGAACAGGAACACTCAGTATAGAGGACTCCTGTTGATTTATAACAGATGCTGCAGAAAAAGAGATAGAGGACTCTGTGTCCTCAATCTCTTTTTCTATTTTAAAAGGGAAATATCAGGGGTCTGTTTAGACCCCTAATATTTCCCAGAAGCCCCTAAAAGTAAAGTAAAAAATATTTAATAAAAAATGAATTAATAAATAAAAATAAATATCAAAAATGTAAAAAGTTTATAAAAAATAAATACAAATAAAATGTGACTGTACTCTATACTGTCCTATACTATATATAGCTAAATCTTTGATTTCTTTAGCCCTATACACAAGGATGTCTGAACTTACGTATTGAGAATTTTTTTTTTTGTCTACTTCCTGATGGGGGTTACCCTGGATTAATAAATGGCACACAATTACAGTGACGAACTGACTCTTGTGATTACAGCTGAGTGCATCAATTTAGGGTACAAGGTAAACTATGATCGATATTTACTACTGTGACTACTGTTTACTTCCTCTTCTAATAGCTTTTTCATTTCAGTTGTCTATTTATACAGTATACATGTATAGCTTTCCAAGCCCTGCATGGGACTTTCACCAGCCTGTTGTGTCCCTGTGTCTGTCGATCTGAATTTTTTTATTAATCTCAAATCTGTATACCGCTCTTGAACATATTTTTAGTGTAAGTATACATAGGACATCTCTGAGCTGTTTTTGCGCTATACTCATTTATAACATATTTCTTGCTTTTATTATGTGATTATATCATCCTTGTACAGATATCACTGTCTTCTCCTGAAGATGCGGATCAAGCTGTCGGAGAAATGCGTTTATTCCCATTTCACCATGTGTCGGTTGGTTAAATAATGTAATATACATTGTATCAACCATGGTCATATGGATTTTTAATTAATTGATTTATATATTATGTAAGGTGATGATGAAGGGAACTACTTAGGAATCCTTTTCCATTTTGCACTGTATGTCAAAATTTAATGACTTTCTTTTGAAATATTTGGTGTTGTGTATTTTGAATAAAAATGTATTTTATTAATTTTTTCGGTCTGCTACCTTTTTAAGTCCGAACAGTTGCTTTAAGGTTATTAGATCAATGCTCATTACCTGTTTTAAGTCAATGCACTCTGTACATGTAAGCAAAATATTGAGGCACTCAAGTCTAAAATGTAAAAAAAAAAAGTTAATGTAAAAATGAAAAAAACAACTTGTGTCCCTCCTTAATCCATATGAGACCCTAATCCAAGATAGAGGTCTGGTATGGATTTTAAAAGAAGCCCCATTTAAAAACACATACAATAAAACAGTGGGGTTCCCCCCTTCACATCAGAGCCTCCCCTTTACATTAAATATATATATATATATATATATGTAAATATATATATATA